GACATGTTAAAAATCTGTAGCAAAAGGTAGAGTCACTCCATGTCTTAATTAAAAACTGGAATATGTTTTCAGTAAGCAGAGGAATTACAGTACCTACAGTGTGATTGTCAGAATGAGTGACAAGACGTAGGTCTGTAAGACAGGTGATAAAACAGCAGCCAGTTATGGCTCAGTCCCATCTTTTGTTTTTCCCAGACAAACCTGGATCTGTTGCCTGCAGACTTCCTTTTTTACATCCTTAAGAAGACTAAAGCACATTTGTGCTTTGAGAAGGCTTTAGATTTCTAATTGTGTTCTGGAGGAATCCTCTCTCTAATCCTGTAGCTTCTCCCTGGCACACTTCCTAGTTGATAATGGTAGAAAAACCGGATTGCAGTAACAGTGGGAGGAAATGGAAATCTGTCGTATCACTGCTGGGGTGCCATCAGAGGGCGTGCATGGATTTATACGATAACGCGTTTGGCCAATTTGGGTCTCTTAAACGTTTTTCCCACCGTTGATGTGTTAAATGTTATTCTGTTCCATTTTTTAGTTATTTGGAGTTCAGAATAATTTGATGTGAAAGTACTCCATTTTGTTTTTTTTATTTTACTATGCAAAATTAGCGTTTTTGTTTTTGTGTTTCAGTGGAATCCCCCAAAGAGCTGTTTTCCTGTTTTAATTCCTTTTGCTGTACGTTGAAATAGAAGAGAATATTGTTTTTATATATCCCCAACTGCAATGCGTATCTTATCCTGTTTTCAACTTCTTTTCGCCCTTTCACTGACTTTGTGCTCAACTTCCCTGTTTTTTTGGTGTTGCGACATGTGTTCTGTGACCTTCCCTGGCCTTGTCCTGCGTAGAGTTGCACAGACTCAGAGGGAGAGTGGTTACAATCCGAGCAAATTAGCAAGAAAAAAAGCCAGGGCTACATTGGCAGAATGCACAGGACACAAATGTACGGGTCAGGCGCACTAATAGTAGAGTAGAGACGAAATGCCCTTCTGTGTTCACTTTGGAGTAATAGCGAGCAGCAAGAGGGGGAAAAATGAGTAGTACCTCATCTGGAAACCTGAAGGTTCAACAATGGTGGTTATTGGCATGGGCCGGAATTGTTGAGGCCATCCGCTTGGGAAGTGGCTGGAAATCCAAGCCAAATTAGTCCTGTGTTGGGGCAATAGGGTGAAACTGGTGGAAATTCCTATCTTATGTTCCGTCTTCCCTCGTGAAGGCGCATTGTGAGGGGCTTTGTTTCATCCCCTGATGAATGAAGGACTGCAGTTAGCAATTAACTGGGTTGGTTCATGTGGCTGCAGACATCTGAATATATGTGGTGAAAGAGTTAAAAGTGGCATGAAGGAGTGCGTGGGGAGATGGATGGCTAAGGGCTGATTAGCATTGCCCTCCTCTCTTTCTCTCTCTCTCTTTTCTGTGGGGAGCTCACAGAGGGGGATTCTGGGAAAACACTGGCATCTGTCTCCAGGGTAAGGGGGCCTCATTGCGAGCTGGGTCAGGGGGGGATTGGGAGAAGGGGGGCAGATTTAGGGTTGCCGCGGCTGTCAAACCCCGGTCCCAGTGGGCGCAGGCTGCTGATTGCTTCTGCTGCTGCTTCTCTCCGTCTCCTCAGCAGGCCGGAGCTCATTCACCACTCTGAAGTTTACTTTCTGAATTATTAACGCTTCATAAAGTTTCAATAACTGCCCCACAATATAAGGCATGGGAGGGTTCAAAGTTGATGTCAGCTCAATGCGAGAAAGGTGATTGAACTTGAACCTTGTCTTCAACTGCTGACTTAAAAAGCTCTGCCAGTAGATTTGAAGTCCCCCCTCCTCACACCACGCTCTCGGTTAAATCAGTACAATTATACATGAATTGGCTTTGCAGAACTGGGCAAATATTGCTTCTCTGCATATGATTTATTCATTTGTTTGACGCTTTTATTTGAGGCGGCTAAGAGGATTACAAAAGGAAAGTAAAAGGCAGGAAGGTATAAGCTGTAAGTCATGTCTTAAAACTGGTGGGATAACACCTGGTGACTTTTTTTTTCTTTATAGTGCTCATATTGTGGACTATGGATACAAAAGATCTGCAAAGTGGTGGAAGTCAGTCACTGTTACCTCAAGTGCCACAAAGTGTAGTATGGAGTGTTATTTGTCAGTAATACAGCAGTGGGCAAACTTTGAGACTTCTAAGAAGCCTAGATGTACTTACATAGCAGAGAAGATAAACAGATTCCTCATTACATTGGGTAACAATGACCATTACAATAACAACATTCTAGGCTGTATTTTAAGTTAACTTCCACTGTCAACCCAATGGAGTTGCTAGAATATGAGGTGAAAAAGTAACCCAAGCAAAACAGAAACTTGCAGGTGAGATCCTCAAGCGGTCTTTGGGAGCAATACAGTTGTGAGGCAGAGGCCAACATCTCTCTTTTCAATCAAAAATCTGTCAGGGAACCCCTCTTCAAACCTACCCTCGCCTTGGTCTTGGCTACAACCTGGCAGTTGTGGCTTGAAAAGTCAAGTATATCTTTTCCTATCTGGAAAGCTGGCAATACTGGTGAAGAGCAACTCTTAGAGACAGAACTATTATTAAGCAACATGACAATATGCAGTCCATTGAGATTTGGTTTTGTATATTTTCCTCACTTTTCCCACCATTTAATCTTACACTGTCAAATCTTTATCTGTTTGGCTTGATAAAGGAAGTTCTCTGAAATGGGAATTTGCGAGGTCCAAGTGCCCGCACACAAATGGCCTAAAGCCCAGCCAGCAACACTTCATTACTGGGGCATTCATAACCTTGTGAAGTGGCAGAAGTGTGTGGGTGAACAAAGAGTCTATAGTGACAGTAAAGCTGTAGGTGAGCAAGATGGCAGACATTGACTCCACCACATCCCACAGAGCTGCTGTGTGTAACTCCCCCACACATTGGTCAGACGACTGGATCCAACAAGAAAACAAAAGCCCAGTTTACACTCAGCTCAAACTTAACTGTTCCCTGACTAATATGGAGCTGGGCCATTAAGCTGCTTCTTTACAGTAACCAGCTTTGCTTCCTGGATTTCACAGTGACTAATTGTCTTTGTCAGCCTGGTCAGGTGATGGTATGACTCTAGTCATCCCCTCAGGCGTCTGGGGGGAGGTTGCAACATCACATAGTGTTGAAGAATAAAATGGCCTGCTCTACCTGTGACACATGTTGATGTGGCAAATTAGCAAATTCCCTTTCCTTTGTAATAGTGTAAGCTTTTCATATGGGAGTCTGAGGACCCCAAGGGAACATCAGACGCATCCTCGGTAACAAAGGAAAAGTCGTCAACTTCAGAACTTTATTTAGAGATCAAATGCCTGGAACTTCAAGTCCGTTAAAGTTCCTGTTCCTTTACGCTCTCCAGTGAGCTGCCTTTAAAAGTGTGGCAGAGCAACTTCCTCCAGTTTATGACGAGCACTTAAAGCAGGCCCCATTTTCAGTATAACTGTAGAATGTAAATTCTCACTTGGTGTTTTGCTGTGATAATGCAAACAATGACTCTTAACCAGGCTTTTTAATGTTTTTTGGATAATAGGATGAAATATTGTATATAAGTTTTTTTTTGGGGGGGGTCTTTAAGAGTGAACATTAGTCCTCTGACCAGACCTTAAATTACATTTCCTCTGTTCAGTCAGTTTTCCATTTAAGTGTTTCTTGAGGTTAAAGGTGCTGTTCAAAGATGCCGGACACAAGAAAGAAAGGTATCTACAGATCTACTTAAGGTGATTTATGCAACCAATCCTTCTGTCTAATGACTTAGTCCTCTTTGCAGTGCTGTTGGAGGTATTTTTTACATTTGCCTGCTAAAAGCCCTCCATAGGTCTCCTACAGATGCAGTCTTTGTTAGTTCCCTGTAAAAAGAAGCCTGGAGGTGAATTACAAGACAAAACTCAGTGTTTTGTATAACAGCCCACCAGGCCTGTAGGTGGAGGGCCCAGTCTTGGATTTGCATGGCAAAAGGGGAGCAACCCTCCCCTCTTTCCTCCCTGGTGTGCAGGTTGTGTACAGTATTTGTCTGAGCAGACATGACTAATCCTTTTGAAAAACAGGGCTTGCTTTCCGAGTTCCCAGTTTTACAGCTTTACTCTGACAATTGGTGGTCTAATCCATGTTACCATTGCTTCTTTTTGTAAGATTTCAGAAGGGTGGTTTTTTTACTTTTGCAGCCCTAAATGCTGGATTACCAATTGTTCATGAACTTGGCTAACTGCTTCCGTCAAAGGTGAAGATGACGCGCCCATCCACTTTCTGTGCAGTGCGCATTGTCCGGCCATCTGCTTCTCTTGTGCCAGTGGGTCGCGGAGTCAGAGAAGCTCATTTAAGTCCTGCTGTTAGCATTGTAAGCTCACGGGCACCTGGCGGTCCACGGGGGAGAGCCAAGAGGGCCCAGGCTGCCTCCAAACACCCCAGTCATGCACTACACATTTGGATATCACAGTCATCAGCCAGTGAAGAGCGTTAACACCACTGAGATTTAGACCTGTGGTTTCTGGATTACAGGGCCCGTCCTGTGTTACCGGAAGAGACCATTTAATGGGCGAGCCACTTATGAACCCCTGTCTGTTAAGCTTATGAACATATAGGGCATTGACGAACAGTGTTGTTTTGATGTTAATCTGTAACGTGCGAGATATGTACAGTGAATATAATATGAGCTTGCTTATTTCTGTTTTCAGTAGGTTAAATTAAAGTAAATAAACCCTTCTATCTTTATTTTATGTCAGTAAAGATAGAAAAGGTTGGAACTCTTAAATATAAGAAATGTATATATTAAGTGAACATATAAAGCTGGGTAATAGACTGTGTTTCAGTGTCTTAAGGAGTCCTTAAAATAAAGATCTTTTTCTGTGAAATTGAACTGAAATGCTCTTTTGTGCAATCCATGCTTTGTTGGTACGGTTCACAGTCGTACTTGGTTGTGGTGTGCTTGTCTCTGTGGAAAAAGGCACAGATTTAACAGTGTTTTTCCTCTTCCTTTTTCACAGGAACTGGAAGAAGCCCTGCTCAAACAGGACTTTGCTTTTCTGTCAGAACTGATCTCCTCTCTCCTACAGGGATGCTACCAGCGGACCGACATCACGTGAGTTGCCATGTTAACTCTCCATTTTGCTGACACTTAAAACTGTGGGCTCTGTTTTTCAGTTGAGTGTTAGAGTTAATGTGTATTCATGGATGGTGTTTTTAGTACAGATCTGTACAGCCATCTGCTGCCCAAGTGGTTTTGATAATCCTTTTCGTATGTTTGCACTGTTCGAGTACTGCCTATGTTGATTAAATCGAGAAATATTTCAATGGTGGTAAAATTTATGAGTTGAAATTGCAGTTTGTGCTTGCCATAAAATAATAAAATAATAAGACATTAGATCGATTTCACTGCAAAGCTTAAAAGAGGCTCAGTTTTATTTCAGAAATTTTATTTTCACTTCCTTTATTTCCTAAAATCAATCTTTATACTCATCTTGTCACCTCAAATCACGAGTTCCTGGTTTTACAATTGCTCTAAGGCTCTTCCTCAGTTACTTTACTTTAACAAAGGTCTGTGTTGATTGATCAAGAGCTCTTTCTGGTGGTGGTAGCTTGGTAATTACTTCTTTTGCCTCTTGACTTCAAGGTCATAGGTCAGAGTTCTGCCTTGGGTGGGAGACTACTTCATCTCCCAGCATAGAAAAACAGCAGTGCTTTTCAGGAGATGGTGCCTTGAATGTTTTGCAGAACAAATTCAGGCCAGCTCAAATGGTGATTCACATTTTTGAGGGTAGACTTAATTAATGGAATTGGGCACAGAGCATGAAAATTGCCTCATGAGTAATGAGCAAATTGCATCTTATGTTTACTAAATTGCAGTCCTGCAGTCTTTGGTCACATGAAGACATAGTAAAGGTGTGGTTTAAGGTTTGCATGCGTAGTGCCTTTGTGTTATGGTTTTTGAAAGAACAGCTCTGAGTTTTCCTTCCTTTGTGCTTGTCACTTGTTTATTTTTGAATGGAACAAATACACTATTGAAGCTGTGGCTGTTCTAAATATATAGCTCTTCATTTGATTTGCATTGCCTGTGTAAGGTTTCATTAACAGCCAAAAAAGAGTAACTTACACAAAATTTAAGATTTAGGAGTTACATACAGTACAATAATGATGGGAGTCTATGTTCAGGGCTTTCTTTGCATTTAAAATAAGGCACAACAAACAGCCAATCATCCGTAAACAGAGTAGTATTCTGAACTGCAACTGAAGTAAAAGAACCTAAAAATAAGATGTTCGGGTTAAGATAAAATGTAATTGTATGTGATTTCCTTGTGTCAGAAGAAGTAAAGCTATATTATGACCAGTGTTTATTGTTGAAGTTGCCATGTTTGAACACATTGATTTTCCTGTTTGTTAGATGTGAGGACCTTCCATCTAGGCACTCAACTGAAAATGTATATTTTAGTGAGGAGACATATTTCAGTTTGATTAGGGTCTACAAAACAACATCTGAAAATAAGGTGTGGGACAAATCTTCCCTCCTCGTGAGAATTAGTCTCTTTCATTTTATTTATTCAGTGTTGATGAGTAGGCCTAATCAATATGTGGTCCCTCAGCTGTTTTCAGCCATTTAAAGGTTTAATCACCTTGGTTAGAGTCATTCTAACCCCCCCCCCCCCTCAGAAAATATTCCAAATACATGAGCAGTCATTTTATGCATCTCTTTGTATGGGTTCAAAGTCTGTGTATTGATTTATAAAGTATAGTTTCTTTAAGATCCAGAAATGTGTTTAGTCTGTTGACAAGCTATATGTAGTGTTCAGCTGAAAAAATCACCTAATCAATAGCATTTTTGTACCATTGCTTAAAATGGGAGTGGCTCCAAGGTCATGCAGCTGATAGCTCTGGATGTTAAAGGAGATTTTCGTTGACTTCAGATCTCATGGTGTGTCCGGGCGTGGTGCCACCAAAAACTCCATCATTGAGCACCGAAGAAGGAGCAGCATTCAAAGAACTCCATGTCTACTGGCTTGGATTGCCAGCATAGGTGGAATGGGGTGTGGCAGGCAGTGGAGAAGGGCAGAATTAAATGGCAGAATTCTCAAAGAACCAGCTAGTACCATGCAAATATGTCAGACCCCTCCCTCCTCTTACACCCACCCACCCCGGCAGTGACTCGGTAGAAATAAATGATCCACTTTCCACTCTTGGGCAGGCGGTAACAGGATGTAATCCTTTATTGGATTAGACAGCCCCTGGCATCCCAGGGGCTGCAGCACTCCTCTGCCATTTCAAAGAAGTTCTGCTTTCATCTTTATGCATTAAACACTCCCGCAACAGGGGGAGAGGAAAGGCTGTGCTGCTGGGTTGCAGCTGTGTAAAAATGCCGGGTGTCCTTTCAAGATAATCCATTCTTTTTTTCCGTCTTTTTTTATTGTTGTTGTTGCACTTGTGCGAACCCCTGCCTGCAGCCAGCATATCCATTTATTGCAAGCAGAGTACCTCTGTTCCACTGTCTTCAGGGCCTTGGACCTCTGCTTATGGTCTTTCCTTCAGAAACAGAGTAGGTATGGGAATACTGTACAGCAAGTGTTGTTTTATTTAAAAGGTGGGGATGAGCTGTGCAGAATTTCTGTTACATGACTTGAGAGACACATTTCTGGAAACGTGAAGACAGAAGCATTTTTACATTGGAAAATTTTGTCAGTGTTTATTTCCTTCTTGTTTGGTGTAGGTGCACAAACAATTCATACCTTAAATGTTGGTAAGCCCATAAAACATGGGACCTTACGAGGTTTTAAGTGAACTATTATTTTTCTGTTAGTGCTGACAATGCCCAGACCCTGTGTCCACTAAACTCCAGCAGTCCACGGTCAGTCATGAGTTGTGAATCTTTATGGTACAACCTGCATGCTAGATTATAGGCCCTGACAGTTTTTTATACATTTCTTTTAAGTAGCCACCTAAACTAGGAGGAATTAGTTACTAAAAGATGCAATCTATTTTGTTACCATTTTATTCATTCATCCTCCTTTCTGGATATTCCAGCGTTTTGAGATTCAGGCCCACTTAAATATCACCAGCAACTCACCAGCAGCCATATCACCTTGCAACTCACAACTGGCAACCCACTGAACCTAAGCAGGTGTGAGCCTGGTCAGTACCTGGATAGGAGACCTCCTGGAAAAAACTAAGGTTGCTGCTGGAAGAGGTGTTAGTGGGGCCAGCAGGGGGTGCTCACCCTGAGGTCTATGTGGGTCCTAGTCCAGTATAGTGATGGGGACACTATACTGTAAAAAGGCACCGTCCTTCGGATGAGGTGTATAACTGAGGTCCTGACTCTGTGGTCATTAAAAATCCCAGGGCATTTCTCAAAAAGAGTAGAAGTGTAACCCTGGCATCCTGGCCAAGTTTCCCACTGGCCATCAATCATGGCCTCCTAATAATCCCCAACTATGAATTGGCTTCATTACTCTGTCCTCCTCCCCACTAATAGTTGATGTGTGGTGAGAGTACTGATGCAGTATGGCTGCCGTGGCTTCATGCAGGTGGAGGCTTCACATTGGTAGTGGTGGAGGGGAGTCCCCATTACCTGTAAAGCACCTTTGAGTGTAGTGTCCAGAAAGCAGCTATATTGGTGTAAGCAAATATTATTATTACATTGCTTCCCAGCGTGTTGTCTTTGTGACACTCATTTTTTTTTTAGTGAGTATATTTCTTTCTTTTATAATTATTTTGCTGGTATTAGACATTATGCAACTCACTAAATGAGTCAAAATCACTTCAGATTGGCTTAAATCAGTTTAAAACATTTTAATTCCTTTAAAAATACATTTTCCCCCTTTTCTGACACCTTATCTGTACTGCCTGTTTTTTTTATTACAGAGTGATGTGGCATCATTTGTGTGAAATTTGATATGGAATTTATTTTCAACTGTTTTATTAACTTCACATTCCATATTTTGCATGTGAAATCAGAGCACATATTGAAGGGTCACTTATACACAAGGTCAGCTGGGGTCAGAACTGTCACCCATTGTGCCATTAAGATGCAAAACCTGACATAAGTTCAAATTTAAATCTTCCCATTTTGAACATCCTTTTATATTACTAGTGGGAAGTTAGTAATTCTGTTCTTGATTTCAGTCATTATTAGTTCTACACAGTTGTTTGGGATACTGAGTGAGAAGGGTTGCTCTTGTCCAAAAGGAACTTAATGTAGTATTGACCTTCTGTAGTTGATTATTCCAAAACTGAATAACTAGTAATTAGTGATTTAGCAGTTGGTCCAAATCCAACATTGGTGGTGGTGGAGGGGAGTCCCCATTACCTGTAAAACGCTTTGAATGGAGTGTCCAGAAAGAGTAGAGAGTAGAGTAGGCTATTGCCTACAAGTACATTGGAAGT